GTTTATAATGAATCCATCCAGAGCCTCGATTAAATCAACTGTGGTTAAATAAATTAATAATAAAATTATTATACAAAATAAATGTTTGACTGCAGAGGATTTATGTTGTTGTTTACATCAGAAAAATGTAAACAAAACATTTTTAAACAGTGCTTCAACATGTGGTGATTTTTTTCTTTCTGGTGAAGGATTTTTTTGCATTAATCTGCCATAAACTCTGCTCTAATCTGGATAATCTGTAACTGACAGACTGATCAGATCGTCACAGCGGTGCGTAAGGCTAACCAACACGTTAGCTTCACTAACGCTAAGCTAAACTTCACTAACAGCTAAAGAGATATAAAGTTAGCAGAAGCTAACGCTAACCACTAAGACGACTGAAACAAATCTGTTGTTAGTTTTCTATTGGTTAAATTTGAAGGTGGGCGGGACCACCTGCAGAAAATCAGCCAATCCAAACCAGAGTTATAGATCTGTCTAACTTGTGATACTTTCAGAAAAAAGGATTTTTTTGATAACGTTTGTATTTTTATAAATACTGTTTGAAATTAGTTAAACAACAAATATCAAACACTTTCTCTACCCTATTTTTTATGTAGTCAGTTTTTGTATTTCTTATTGAATTGTTGTTTAATGTTATTTTATTTTTTTAGATGCTTTTAGTTTGAAGTTTAGCTGCTATAGGTGCTACATGCTAACACACATTGTTGTCTGGCACGTCTAACACTGCTTGAAGAAATATTTTTATTTAATTTTAGATAAACAGCATAAAAATATTAGTTTTAACACAGTATAATGTTTCCAAAGTTGGTAAAATAAAAAAATCTAATCCGCTAATTAAGAAGCTAGTTCCACTGTTAGCGGATTAGCTGAACTGTTCCCACCACTGGATATTTATTATTAACCCGGTTAAAAAAATAATATTAATAAAATAAACCAATGTGTTTTTGAACGCTCGGCTGAAATGTGTTATTATTTTACAGAAGTTTCATTTAACCATCAGTTTTATTTATTTTCATGCATTTTATTGTTCTCACGCACAGGTTGTGTTTTATTATGAGAACAGAATAATAATGCTATAAATTACCCCCACCCGAACAAAAAGAGGCGCCCCCAGTGGGCCAGTTTTGGCCCGCAGGCTGCCAGTTGATCACTGCTAAGATTTAACAGTTACTTCCTGTGAGG